TCGAGCATACCTAATTTATGAATGATCCTAAAGTCCTGGTTGCATGTATTTGAATTAGTATTTAAAAACTAGAATTAATATATTGGTATATATATAAATCAATTTTTTATTTATGTATATGTTTTTAAGTTCTATTTTTGCCATTTCTTTTAATATATCTTAACTGTTATTGGTTCTTTTATATTTTTATAAAAAGAATTTTATATTTAGCACAAGTACAAAAATGTTTTTTTTTAATTATTAAATTTTTTTATAATTTTTATTTTAGTTCGACCTTGACGTTCTACTCTACTTCATTATTTATGATTAGTTTGACTACTGTTGAAATATGGTTTTAATTTAGTAAATTCTTGTGAACTGAAATTTACTTTATTAATTATTAGCCAACAGTTTTAGTAATAAAATTGAATTTAACACTATCAAGGTAAGAATATCTTTGTTTTCTTGTAACACCATAAAACAGTTTTTTATGATTAATACCATGTTATTGCTTATTTGTGCAACTATACCTGAGTTGACTAAACAGCTGACATAATTTTGAAAATCTAATAGTTTGTGTACTGAGAATTGTTGAAGCACTTGGTTTATGTAATTTGGTTTTAACAATTTCCGAATATAGTCTAAAATAACAAAGTTTGCGATGGATTTGGATTAATGGTAAGTGTCTCAGCCTAAAAGTTGCATTACAGTTCATAATAATTTATCATATCTATCATAATAGCACTGAGCCTTTTTCTTGTTACTCTAGATACTTTAGGTATATTTTACTATTAACAAAACTTTGTGATTTCAGTTAATGTTGAAAAATGGCTTTCAAATCCATAATATTTTTTAGGAATTTCTTCAATTTTACTGTTTTAAAATTAGTGTTAACCATTTACCTGCAGGCCCCTATATATAAATGTCCTTATATTATTTCGAAATTTAAGTTTCTTAAGTTTCATAGTCCATAATTGTACTTGGTTTCTTTTTACACAATAATTTGTAAAACTTTCCTGCACAATTTCTTGCAATAAAATTTTTTTAAGCATTGCCACTTGGAGCTTTATATATCTTAAAATTATTGACTTTATGGTTTTTCTTTATAGTCTGGGCCTTTTCTTTTAAAACATATGCATTTTTAGGCCAAAACTGGCTCAGCCATGTGAGGATTTGCAATAGTTTTGACCAAAGCAATAATCATCTTTTTTTTATTATTGATTTTCAAGTAGTTTCTACTTGTACACTTCCTATTTATTGTATTAAATGTTAGATGATTCTAAATATAGTTCTTTGTGAACATTCAACTATTTTTAATTTTTTTTTTTTGCTTGGTTTCAAGTAAAACAAATTTTAAAGCCTGGAATAGAAGTATCAACAAATTATTTAAATTATATTTAAATAAGTAATCAAATTTATGTAAAGGTATAATAAATGTAATGTAAATATAATCTAATTTATAGGTATACAATAATAGGTATATAATTAGTAATCTAATTTATGTAAATGTAAATAATTTAAATATGTGAAATAAATAAGTAATCTTATTTATGTTAATGTCAAAAATTAATTTTAAGTAACGTTGCAATAAAATATTATTCTAAAATAATTTTTTCATTAACATAATGTTAATATTACATATATTAGATAATTACGTATTTATATAAAACTTTAATAAATTTTTAATACACGTCACACAATGGGGCAAAATTGCTTCAAAACTGGCCATATGACAAAAATGAAAAAAGGCTGTGTTAAAGCTGAAGCCTATTAAAAGTTGCAAATTTTTTTCAATATTAGGTTCGCAGCTAAAAAAAAATTAAGCTTCAATTTTAGGTTCGCAGGTTAGACAGGATTTAGGCAGCTTCAAATTTATGTTCGCAAATGAAAAAATAATTTTAAAGTGCTTAAAATATATATTAACTTCGTAATATAACATTCTTTTTTTGTATACTTGTTTTAGCAATTTAAAACAAATAAAATTAATCGAGTTATTAAGTAACTTTTTTTGAGGGACATTTTACACTAAATTTGAATTACTGGAATTTATTTTAGTGAATCGATTAGAATATGTTTCAACATTATATATTTATGCAAGCTTTTGACTTCCTTCTTTTTTATATTATCACTTACCGGTTTTTTAAAAAACTTTACTCAAAAAGTCATTAAAGTGACTGACAGTAGTAAATAAAATTTATACAATTGAACACTGTATTTTGAAAACGTCACAAAATTAAAATTTTACAGGAAAGTAAAAAATATTTCTCCTGTAAAAATTTGTATATTTTTTTTTTTTTTTTGTAGCTTATATGAAGTAATAAGTGTTTACATCTTAAATCAGAGAATTTTTTTATCTGAAGCAACTTTTCCTAAAAAAAATATTTTTTAAATAATCTCACTTTTGAAAGAAGTGTGACTCGTCATGTTTTCGAAATACAGCGTTCAATTGTTAAACTTGTTAGACTTGAAAAAATATGTGGAATAATTTTTTCAAGTCTAACAATTGCCCTTAGAGTAATTATTTAACTTAAAAATCCAAAACAACAAAAATTACTTTTGTCCAGATTTAAAGCCCCGCTGTGCGACACTTGTATTCCGAGCTGACTTGGAATACAAGTGTCTCTTTTCCTAAATTTATTTTCTTGGCAAATTAGGGTTTTTCACTCAAGCGTAAAAACTTGCATTACGCACTTGTTGCTGTTTTGTTATCCTTCTGAGTAATAATTAAGATTTATTTGAAAAAAAAACTTTTAAATTTAATTACTAATAAGTAGTAATTAAATTGTTCAATTCCTTTTTTTGTGATGCCAAATTTTAATAAATTGTCTATTTTACTTACCCAGCTCTTATTGGTCAATGGATGTTTAAAAATAGGTAATCAGCAGTAATATAAAATTAAGTAGTTATCTCAAATAACTTGATTAACTTTAAATAGGTTTATTAATGAAGTATCTTGGTATTAGTTTAATATCCCTTTTAAATGAAAAAAATTCTGTTCTTACTGAGAGTAGTGATAATAAAAGATGTCATTTAAAAACATACAAAAATTTTTTATCTTAGTCTTGCTATAAGTATAACAAAAACTATTGATACCATGACAAATACAACATACTAACATAAAGTAGCAATGATATGATAATAATCATAAAAAGCTGTTTGATGCTGTTATAAGAAAACAAAGCTATTCTTACCTTGTCAGCTAAAATCAATTTTATTACCAAAACTATTAGCTGATGATCAACAAAGTAAATTTCAGTACAAGAAATTTACTTAATTAAAACCATATTTCAACAGTGGTAAAACTAACCATAAATAATGAAGTAGGTAGAACGTAAATGTCAAGTTAAAAAAAATGATAAAAAAATTCAATATAATAAAAAAAAACATTTAACCTTGCATTAAATATATGGTTATTTTAATAAAATATAAAGGAATAAATAAGAGTTTATGTAGATCGAAAGAAATGGTAAAAATAGAACTGAAAAACATATACATAATAAAAAATTGAACTATACATATATATATATATATATATATATATATATATATATATATATATATATATATATATATATATATATATATATATATATATATATATATATATATATACAAATACATTTCTCAATACAAAATCAAATACATGCTAACAGGACTTTTGAATCATTCATAAAGTATGCTTAGATGGCATAGGGTGCAGGTGGTAATTATAAAAGTAAAGAGACACTATATAAAGAAAAACATAATAAAATGTTGGGTAGGACACTCAAAAAATCGTGCAGCAAAATGTGAGGATGAGGGGAAAGAGAAGAGAAAGGGTCAAAATACAAGCATACATACTTTATGGACGACCCCTTTCCAAATACAAATATTTTTATTTTATGATAGGAAAAAATAAAAAGACTTTTTCAAGAAAAGACTGATGAATCAACTTAATAGAAGAATGAAAACAAATCTTCTAAAAAATTTCCCTTAAAAACAAATTAATAATTAAGTGTTACAAAGGGGAAAAAACACAAGCCTCTTGATTATTTAGGTTTGAAAAGATATTGCCGGGTCGGGGTTTTTGACTGAGGCTGCATAAACATTTATACATCCTAAAGTATATTTTTCTTCTTCAAAATTCATATTATATTTTGTATATGCATATATAAACATCATTATGGTAATTATAATTATATCATCTTTTCTTTCTGCAAATACTACACCATATAAATAAAGTTTATATAAATATTAAAGGATATTGATGCCAGCATCTAAATAAATATCAAACATATATGTTAATGTCCATATACATATATGTTTATGTCCATTAGTGATTTCGCCGGTTATCCGGTTTTTCGGTTAACCGGATTTTGTTCGAATATCAAATATATATTTCCGAATAATAAAAACCGACTTTAAATTTTACTAAATTTATAGAAAGTAACATCTTACTTATGACGATTATTGTTTGACAAATGCTAATTTATCAAAGATTATAATAAATTTCTTTTATTAATTTAAATGTTAATTTAATCAGTTTTGTTTGATAATATATTCTTAAAACAATTTACAAAAGAAATCTCAAAGATTTATTTATTACTTTTGCAACTCAAACAATACATTTTTAAGAAAGTTTATTTGGAATATTCTGGAACTTTAATTCGCTTATTCAGCGTATTTTTTGAACCAATAGAAATCGTTTATGCGTATATTTGGCGGTAATTTATGCGTAGATTTGGTGGTAACAAGATGTTTTGAGAACTTTTGAGAATTCAAGTTTATCCATGTTTCCATCTATGTCCGCATAACAATAAGTTTTCGCTAAAAAAGTTTATAATATCTATCAAATGTTTTTATGAGAGAATGCTTTTGAAACATCCGCTGATTAAAAACATTTTGATAAAAAAATTGCAAGGCTTATAGTTAAGTTATGTAACTATGTAACAAGGTTATATAGTTACATAAGTATGTTATGTTATGAGCTTAACTTTTTTAATTTAATTACATGAATCAATTTTTCTATATGAAAAATTTGTTTTGTTTAGAGCATAATGTCTAGTCTTAAAAAGAGTATTGTGTGGAAGTTTTTTAAAAAAATTGACAATAATTTTTCTGTGTGCAGTGTGTGTGGTGAGAAAATATCGTGCAAAGGAGGAAGTACATCTGCAATGCAGAATCACCTCAAATTGCGTCATCCTTCTAATCAGGTTGTTGCTGGAAGATCTGGTGCAGGTTCTTCAACAAGTGCTAGTAATACGTTAATAAGTAGGTATTTTAACACAACAACTGTCGTTATGAATAGTGCCAAAAAAGAGGAGTACCGCAACAAGTTGGCAATGATGTGCGTTATGGATCTACGTCCTATCAATTTTGTCTTAGGAAGAGGATTCCGTGCAGTGGCACAATTTTTGTATCCAGGTTAGAGACATTTTTTTTTATTAATTAATTATATATATATATATATATATATATATATATATATATATATATATATATATATATATATATATATATATATATATATATATATATATATATATTAAAACATTTTGATAAAAAAATTGCAAACATTTTGAATTGTCACTAACACTTGGAAATTAATGCAAATAAAATATCTGGCTATATTAATATGATAACTTCCATTACTTCCTTAACTTTATTACAGTATTTACTTTTTATTTACAGGAGCTCCACCAATAGGATACACATCAATTGTCTCAAAAATATCTTCGCAATTTGAGGCAAGAAAGGCTGCCATTTTTGCAGAAGTTCAGACAATTATGGGATAACTAAACATATATCCTTGTCTCACAACAGATGGCTGGACATCGAATTCTAATGAAAGCTTCATAGCTATTTCAATTCATTTAATTGACAAGAACTGGAACCTTGTCAGTTATGTTATCAATTTGATTCACTCCCAGGAGCGTCAACCTACAGGCAAGTTTGGAGGCTGCAATGGATGCCTGGCATATTCCGGAAGCTTTCGCAGTGGTGTCAGACAATGCCGCAAACATTGTGCTAGCACTAACTTCAAGCAAACGTGTACAGCATATGGTACGGTGTGTCGGGTATACAAGTCAATTGGCCATTAATGACAGCATCAATGCTATCCAGACAGTTAGAAATGCGCTGGCAGCCATCAGAAGAGTGGCACAGTTCTTCAGAAATTCGAATTCATCCTGGAATGTCCTCAAACAAATTCAGAAAGACGAAATCAAGAGAAATTCTAAAAACCGCGATACTACAGTATCTAGACTTCCAAAGCCTATCTGCCCTATCATGGACTGTGAAACCAGGTGGAGCAGCAAAATCCATATGGCGGAACGAATGGTGAGGCTACAACAGAACATCATTGCCGCGATGCAGGTAAGATAAAGATTTTGAAACCCTTTGCTGACCAGGTTACTCGCTGGAGTGGTCAGCGGTATGTTTTGTACTCAGCGATTTATCCGGCAATTTTCGGATTGCTAGATTTTCTTCAGCCAGATGATGAGAACGACACGTGGGCTGCTGTACAGCTGAAAGAAAAGCTGCAAATTGAAATAAAGCAATGGTTTGGTTTGGTTAGCGGTATTAACAATGATTTTCCTTGCTATTTAGGCATGGTTGGTGCCCTTTTGGACCCTCGATTCAAAACCCTCCCATTTCTGACCACCGAAGAAAAAACAAGTGTGATAACATATGCAGAAGAACTACACGCCATCTTGCAGCAGCAACCTGTCATGGGCCCTGCTGCAACGGCTTCTGCATCATCGAAATGCAAAGTCTTTGATAGTTTTCATACAAACAAAAAAAAAGTTGATTTACTCTCGCGTATTTACAAGCCAGTAACAAATGCAAGCTCAGTTCCAACAACTTTCAGACAGGAAATGCAAATTTACTTATCAGAAGATCCTGAACCGCTCACGGGAGATCCACTAACATGGTGGAAGTCGCATAGCTCTAGATTCAACCTTCTTTCTCGTTTGGCTGCACAGCTTTTCTGCGTCACAGCAACCAGCTGTCCATGTGAGCGAATATTTTCAACCGCCGGAAATTTTATCACGAAGAAAAGAAATCAATTAACGCCAGAACATGCAGAAATGCTGGTTTTTCTGTATGAAAATTCAGAGTTGCGTGGAAACTTGGTTGATAATAATGAAGAAGATGATGATGATGATGGAATTCAAATCAGCAGCGATGATTAATGATAATGCAGATAATTAAACTATACTTGTACATTATTACTACCTTTTTTAATTATATAATTAAAAAAGTACATTATATTATAATATAAAATTTATATATTTATATATATATATCTTTTTCCATGTTTTGTTGTAAGTATATGATATAGGACTGTATTCACTAACTGTCTTAAAAATGTATAGTTTAACATTAGTTTTTTAAAAATTAGTTTGAAATGCTACGTTTGTTAAAATTTAGAAGATCCTTTATTCAGAAGGCGTCACTAATTTACCGAATAGTCGGTTAACCGCAAATTGATGGAAACTGTTATCCGGTTTTCGAAACGGATAACCAGCGAAATCACTAATGTCCGTATATAATTTCAATTTTAAGTCAAACTTCATTCTATTCCATACTTTTCGCTATCTTGAGCAGTTTGGTTCGTCTTCATTAACTAAAGTAAGTCTAACATTTAAACTTATTAATTATATAATATTTAATAATATTCAATTTTTACAAAGTGCTAAATAAGCGGTACCAATTTTTTAAAACACTTTGACCTCTCTAACTATCCTACGATTACTCTTCACTCTTATTAATTTCTTTATATAAAGGTTTTGAGATTATTAAATTATTTCTTACTAAATGCATTAATAAAGTTATTCTTGAAGACCCACACTCTTCTTTATTTCAAGTAACTTGAAGGATATCATAAAGTATCTTGTAGTACCCTTAAATCTTTGCTCCTGTATTGTTTCTTATCAATCTTCATGAAAATTTAACATCTAAAGTTGCTCTATTTGTTGACAACTCAACTCTACACTCTTGCTTTGACAAAAAATCTTCACTTTTTGATTGCTTAAAACAAGCAGCTGATTTTTAATCTGCTTTATCTGCCACTTAAGCCACTCTTCCATTGTTGTAAGGTTGCATTTCTTTCTTTTTTCTACTAATACAATTATGGTCGAAGCTCAAACAAGTTATCATCTCTATTATGGTAAACCAAAACTCATTCTTGCTTGTTTCTTATTCAACAAGTTGCTTCCTTTTATTGTATTTGTCCCTTCATGCTTTAAAAACTTTTATTAATCCATTTTTATCCTTGCACATCAAAAAAACCTTATAACTATTAGCCATCTTCATGTTTTTCTTTTATATACAACCAGGGCCATCCCTAGGGAGGGTGGCACCTGGGGCTAATGTTATTAGGGCGCCTCTCTCTCCAGTAATAGTCGCATATATAAACTTTTTGTGCTGTCATCAATACTTTAATACTTACACTACCTACCAATCTATCATAAATATAAATTTATATACATTCAAGCAATCAATCTTTTTTGTTTCATTGTTGTATGTAGGTAGGTTTTAATTAACTTCAACTTACTGAAACTACATTCACTGCTGGCCACTGTCATTAAAATATTTGTCAAAAACAGTAGCTATCAAATTGCCATGTAGAATTTTATTTGTACAGTTCTTCCTCATTTATATCTGAAATTTTTTTCACTGTCAGATGTTCTTCTAAAATTTTTATTTTATAATTCTCATTAGGTTTTTTCTTTGGTTTTTCAGGTCAAATAAGAATTCCCACTTTGACTCTTATTTTGAGAACTTGTCCGCTCTGCCTTTTAAAGATGATTTAGTTGTGCCAATTAGGGTTAAGAAAACTGCATTTTTTGTAAGGTTCTATTGTGCTTGAGATCCAGCGCTTGATTGATGGATAAAAAATTTATAGGTTCTTTGAACAACTCCAAACAGCAATATAGACTTCACTAATGATTTAGCTCGGTCTGATATAACTATGTTCAAGCAGTGGCAACCACAGGGTGAAGGCTTGTGGGTATTACACTTTTTCGAATTGAAACCATATTAGAATATCTTTCTCCATCTTCAATTCAACATAAATGTTCCATCAAAATTGGATCAAAATTTACCAAGTAATTGGATAAGACCAAGGAAGTTCCCATTAAATTTGTTGTACAGCTTTAATGAGCTTCCACAAAATGCAAAATTGTTGCATAAGACCTTGATTGGCAGCATGATCATTTTTATCCTGATTGTTGCTTCAGTCCATTCCTTAACTGTAAAGAGATGGAGATGTCTTTTTTAAGCTTGCTCTTTGAACTTTTTCCAGTAGTTTAAACCTTCTATTTTCCCAAAATATGATTTTAGAGTTGGGTCAAACTGATGACAAGGAAGTCAATAAATTGAATCAGTTTCTGGAGAGTATATAAGCCGTCTTCTCTTACTTGTTCATCCTTTCTTACTACCCTGTCGAAATTCATTTGAGAAATAACGTTTTTGTGGTTTTAGGATAGTCTTTATTACTTTTCAGGAAAGGCATTTTGATAATATAGTCTCTCGCACTTAAAGCTATCCGCTCTGTCTCAGTGGATGGGTCATTAAATAAGAATCTGCAAGTGCCACTTCTGTGGGAATAGTCTGTTAAAGTTGCAAAACTATCATCAGTTTCAACTATTATAGGAAATAACATTCTGCTTCCTAAGATTTTAGGCTGCAAATGTCCAAAAATGAAGTGATGTTCATGTAACAAAACTAGCTGAAGAAACTACACAACAGAAGGTTACTCACATTTTCTTTCCTTGATTAGACAAAGCGGAGGTCTCACTTGATGATTTTAAGGAGTTTTTATCACACAAATGGCTTGATTCACAAGGTTGTGAAAAATTTGGAGAATAAAAATATATATCTTGTAGGAAGGCCTTGTTTTAAAGCATTAAGCGTAAAGCAATTTAAGCAATTTTTACATAAGCAGTAAGCCGTTTCGATTAAGCAACTTTTCTTCAAAAAGTTTTATATATAATTTATTAGTTAAAAATTGATGAAAAGTTGCTTAATCGAAATGGCTTACTGCTTATGTAAAAATAATTACACTATAAGTGGTAAGATAAAAGTAGTAATTAATCAAAAAAAAAAAAAAACAACATTAACTTTTGAATGACATTTATGTAAAAATATTTGATACAAAAGTTTGAATGACAACTTTTACATGACTTAATTTAAAACTAATTTAATAAAAATATATAACTTTATTCTGATAAAAAAAACATATATAATTTAACTTAGCTTTAAAAAAAATATAATTTAATTTTGATTTAAAAAATATTTGTAAGTTTATTAAAATTTAAAGTTAATGGCTTGGATTTAACCTAACTGTCTAACCTATTTAAAAATGTTACTAAATATTTTTTTTATAACGTATGTAATTTTAATAAAATGATAAACTAATAAACTTTAAATAAATTGAATAAATTTTTTAAAATAAAATCATTTGTAGTTACAAAGCAGCAATTAGAAATTTAAGATATAATCATTTTATAAACTGAAAAATTTAACATATTTAATTTAACAATTCATTTATGCAAATGTCGAGAAAAAAATAAATTTGTTAATATCAAACTTTTATAAAAATGCAATATTAAATTTAATTATTAAAAATAATTAAAAAAATAAGCATTGCATTTAAGTATTATAAAAAAAAGCCGTTAAACAACATTTAATTTGTTTTGGGGTAATTAAAATTATTGCAGTAATTTAAAAAAAATAATGTCTAAAAAAATTAACAGAACTTAATTTTGTTAAATATCGCGTTAAATGCATTAAGCATTTTTTTATTTAAAACAAGGCCTGCTATGGGTCTTAAGCATTCAAATTATAGAAACTAATTTCAGACAAAATGCATCGGACTGAACTGTATTATGTAATTAAAACCAAATTAAAAAAAACATAAAATAAACATATAAATATAATATATAACATATAAACATATAAAATAAACCATGTTAATTAAATTTAAACGATCCCATCACTAAACTAAAAACTAATATAAACACAATACAACACATTATAAGATAATATTTTAAATATGAAAAAGAGAACACCTTCAAAGCTTTTTTCCATGCTTCTTGTAAAACCTACAATATAATGGACAGTGTGCAATAACTCATGCTCTTTTATTTTAGCACAAACATCTGCAAATGTTGCTAAAATGTGCTTTGTAACCATAACTGAAATTGAATTTGAAGCTGATGTTGACATGTGTTGTGCATCTAAAATGATAACAAACCTTATATATATATACATATATATATATATATATATATATATATATATATATATATATATATATATATATATATATATATATATATATATATATATATATATATATATATATATATATATATATATATATATATATATATATATATCCACATAACAACTACATATATATAAACAATAGTGAGGGACATTTACAAACAGTTAAAAACTGATGATGCGTAAAGACCTACGATGATATAAAACAATGATTGTAAAATTATAACAATAATAAATATGACTATAATAATACTAATAGTAATGATAATAAATAACATAAAAGGCTAACAAAACAAAGTAATAAACTAAATTAATAATTAGTAGTCAAAAGTAATAATAATAGTGAATTAGAAGCAATAATAATAATATCAAAGTTAGGTATATTTATAAGCAAAACAATGATATCAAAGATAAGATAATAATGCATTATTAGTAAGTGGGAAGACAGGGTTAGTAGAAAGTTGGCTAAATAAAAGATTTTTTTTTCAAATTTTTTTATTTTTTTAAACTTTTTTATTTTTATTTTTATTCTTTATCTGTATAGTGTTGTTTTATATATGCATACTAACTTTAATGTTTAGTGCAATAATAAAATTAAATTTTGGGTATATGTATATATATACACACATATACACACAAATATATACATACACACACATAAATATACATACATATATATACACATACGTACATACACACATGTACACATACACACACGTGCACACATACATATGTATACATACACACACACATGCATACATACACATACCCATGCATACACACATATGCTTACATACACATGCACACATACACACATGCGTACATACACATGCACACATACACACACATGTATACATACACATACAAACATACATAGACATACATGTATACACACACATATATAGATACATACACAAACACACACA